TGCCGTTAGTCAGACTTGTCACCACTGAAGAGATCCTGTACAGCACGTTACTGAAACAAATGCAAAGTCATGTACTGTCCATTTGGAATCACATCCAACAGGCAGCTACATCTTTCAATCCATACAAGTCTTTTTTTTTTTGTACAGTCAAGTCCCACATAAAACTAAACCAAGACACTTCACCAGCAGCGTTTTCCAGTCATTCAATAATCACCTTACCACCACAACCCCCTCGCTGTAAAATGGAAGCATAGAACAGCGCTCAAGTCCACCAGGATGGACAGAACTGTTGTGTAGTCCTGGGTTAGATTAAGTTACTCTGCCTTGAGGTATAAAGGCTCTTCCTCCTACAGGGCGTAGTCAAAGGAATCCTGTCCAAAAATCTCGAAGGACTTTATAGATTTATTCATCTTTTCTGCTTTCTGATTGTCTTACTCCTCAAAAAAGGCTGTGTAATCTTGATCTGCATGCCTCTAAGCAAAACATGTTTCCAAACAGCAAATTTCCCTCAGTTCAACCCTGAAAAAGAATCTATACAGTGACATGAACAGATTTGCTCAAAAGGCCTGAGGGAAGATTCCCCATATTTAACAGCAAACACAGGCTTCCCATATCAAGTGTATAGACCCACAGATCCCTGTCAGGAAGTGGAAAGCTCCCTTTGCTCATTATGGAAACAGCTTAATCACTTGTACATCCACTATTTTGTCCACCTTGCTGCGTATCAAGCTCAGATTTTCTGTGTCAATGTGTGTGTAGGTTGGTGCCCATCACAGCTAGACAGTCACACAGATGTTACTAGCAAAATGAATTTTTAGAGAGGAAGAAGAAAAAAAAACAAAAACAAACCAAGAAACATCACTTCAAGGTATGACACACATTTAGATGCAATGCTTACCAACCATGTACATCTTCTCAAAGATAATTCTAACAGGATTGTATCACCTCTTTTCTGATCACAGTGAAAATATCTAAGCAACCAATTCTCTGCTACTGGGCTGAATTAACATTATTTCCTATATAGAATCATAGAATCATAGGGGT